GCTTCTTTAACAGGGGTTGCTTCTTTAACAGGGGTTGCTTCTTTAACAGGGGTTGCTTCTTTAACAGGGGTTGCTTCTTTAACAGGGGTTGCTTCTTTAACAGGGGTAGCTTCTTTAACTGGGGTGGCTTCTTTAACTGGGTTGGCTTCTTTAACTGGGGTGGCTTCCCCCATGCCAGTGCGCTTCAACAATTCGTAAGGGTTGACCCCCTTCTGTCCGCCCACGATGGCCTGCAAAAGCCGCATTCGCTTGTTCTTCACCTTCGCGGCGACTCTCCTTTTCTGCTCGAAGTCGCCCTGTATTTTGTTAAAGTAGTCGCTCAGCGGGGTGTCGTCATCTGCCTTCGTCTCTTTGTCCGCTCCCGCTTCTGTTTCCGCTCCCGCCTCTGCTTCCGCTTCTGTTACCACTTCCTGGTGGGCCCCCCGCGCGAGCAGCTCCTGCCTGGTCAGCTTGTTAAGCGATTTGCCTAAAATTTTTTCGCTCAGGAAATCGTTAAAGAGGTGCTCGTCCGACTTGTCCTTTTTCCTGAGGTCCACATGTTTATAAAAAAAATTCCTCGTTTCTTCACTGAGTTTGGGGCGGAAAATGCGCAGACTCTCGTCCACAAGGTCCCGCACTTGGTCATGTGGGGAGTCTTCCACAGGTTCACACGCGCTCTGCTCCACTGTAGAGCGGTCCGCCATAACGCTGCCGTCCGTCTGGGCTTCTCCACTTAGCGCCCCCTCAGCAGCGACGTGGTGACGCACGTGGCGATCCGCTTCCTCCCTAACCTTCCGCCGTAGGAGCTGCACCAAGTCCTCTCCCTCCTCTTGCCACACCAACCGATGTGGAAAAAAAACAACGTTGCTGAAATACTCAAAGGCGTGTAAAAAATTATACTTATAATCGCTTGTTTGAACCCCCCCCCTGCCGCCATTCCCCACAACACCCTCGTTAAACAGGACGGTAATCACATTTTCTCCTGAAGTGAAAATGTCCTTAACAATTTTATACGCTAAGATATCGCACTCTCGAACTTGCGAATACTTTATACAAAAAAGAATTAAGTGGCTGCTGCGGATGAGGTGAAAATATTCATTAATAATATTGTTACACTCGTGATGGCGTTCGTAGTTGCTCTGCTTATAATACATTTGTAACTTCCTCATCATGTGTTCATTCATCCCTAGTGTGTCGGTCATTAAACATTTTGTATTTTCAATTCGAAATGAACTTTCATTTGTGTTAATTGAGTAATTTGGCTCATGGTGTACTAGCGATTGTTTGTACTTGGCGCTCAGTTGCTTCATAAGTCGGTTGTGAAGGGACGACTTGCCGCTGTTCGCTGCCCCCACGATGCTTATCCGGAAGCACAAGTTCCTCACCACCCCCGGGCCGGGCATTTCCATAGTCAACAGTTCGAAACCCCTGGCCGCTACCCCCGCTAACCTCGCTAACACCGCTGTACACACGGGTAACGCTTGTAAACCCGGCTAACAACTCCCTATAGGCGCATTGTTGCGGCTGACCAAAGGGCGCTGATCGGATTGGTCAACTCTGACGGGGGCGAAGAACCCTACACGCGCAGGTCCTTACAAAAGGGTGAAAAAAGAATATACATATATATGTACCTTATGTATACATGACGACACGCATACTATTGCGCCGCCCAAAATCGACGAGAAAAAAAAAAAAAAAAAAAAAAAAAAAAAAGCCATCATTTTGGCGCCACGGAGAAAGAACCGTTGCCTTTAAAAAAGTGAAGCCCCAAAAGGGGTGTATATCAGCTAGAGCCATTTGAAGACGACTCAGTTGAAAATAATTTCCGCTTTACTTATGAACGAAGCAGGGACATATATATAAATATTTTTTACCTTGCAACGCCTTGCCCAAACTCGAAAAACACTATCCTACGTGTTTATCTCCCCCCTCCCCCATGTGAAAAAGTTACATGACGAAACAAAATAACCCCGAGCTATTACACAACTTGGTAGTGCTCCTTAGGGAGAAGAACCCAGAGGACAGCAAGTATGTTCCTAGTGTAGGCGAACAGAGTGGGTCCCCAATAAGAAAGAGCATCATTAGTGGTTTTCATGCTGTTCAGAGGGAGGAGGACCAAGCTACGGGTAAAAATGACGAGGAGGAAAGGCCCATCGTCTTTCTCCTTACCCAGCTGGGGAAAGAATTACTCATACACGATAACTTACATGTTCAAAAAAAAAAAAAAAAATTTATTTCGAAGAGCCACTTGGTTATACACCGGGACGCCAACTACGTGAGCGTCTGCAACAAAAACAATTTGCTCTACGCCGTGGCTTTGCTTTGCGAGGAGAGGACGGCTAAGGGGCAAGAGAAGACCGAAGAGAGGGCAACGCTCACCGGGCGTAACAATTACACGCGTGTACTGTCCACACTCGAGGACGCCTCGCACAAATTTGAAGCAAACTTGAATTACTACGTCACCCTTGCAAAGGGAGAATGTCACCTCAGGAAAATTCATCTCATGGACTGTAGCCAGATGGTGTGGGACTTTCAATTTTTTAAACAGGACCTAAAGAGAAGGATCAAATACGCGCAACGGTCAAAACACCTGTGCTTTGTTTTGTCTCCTGGGGTGCTGGTTCGGGAGTACGCCCTGTTCGTGTCCGGGTTGATGCGGCGCTTGGGCCGCGGCTCTCGGGGTGCCCTGTTTCACGTGGTGGACGATTCAGCGGTTGGTCAGGCGGTGACCAGTTCAGCGGGGGGCGAGGTGGTGACCAATTCAGCGATTGATGAAGCCGTGGACGCCTCTCATTTAGCACCACGCCACCCCGTCGCGAGACAACAAAAGACGCCCTTCCTTGAGCAAATTTGGTTCATCCTTTCCCTCCTCAAGGAAGAAAACACCAACCTGCGAAATATATACCACTTAGAACACTACACGAAAATTTTCCTACACAACTGTGACAAGCTAAACAGAAAATCCTTCATCTCCTTTTTAAAACAAATAAACCACCTGCACGTGCATGCAGTAAATTTGAACACACTCTTTGGTTTGTATTTTAGCGAAACGGAGGAAAACATCCTAAAGGTTTTTAGAAAATGCGAAAGGGTTTCGAAGCAGACCGGGCGAAGTGTATGCCTGGTCATGGACGGGATTGATGTGGTGGCGCGGCGGCGCGGGGAAGGCCCCCACGGTGAGCGCGACGGTGACCACGACGGTGGCCGCCACGATGACGGTGACGGCCCAGGGGGCGCAGAACCCAACGACAACGGGCGCCTGCTCACCACGCTGCTGCTCTGCCTTGACAGCATAGACAACTACACAGGGCGGAGGCGACCTCCGCGGAGAGCGGCTGTGCAACGTGGACTCCACGACGAAGGCAACACAGGACACAACACCCCATGTAAAGGGGACAATCCAGCGAGACGGGTGCAAAAAAAAAAACACTCCCCCGAGGTAGACCTGTACGAAGAAGATTCAGATCACATGGGGAGATCTTCAACGGATCAGGATACCAAAAAAAAGTTGAAGAGAAAAAAATTAGCAACACATGTAACGTGTGACATTAAGCAGTTGGCAAAAATTTATAAAGAAAAACACAGTCAGCTCATGAGAAGGAAAAAAAAAAAAAACATCAGCATCATCGTTTTAAGTGATTTGGATTTGAAACACTATGACATTTCTCTCACAAGAGCGGGGCGATTTTTTCATTTCATAAAATATGCCTAGCTATTCTTGCGTTGAAATTTTTTTTTTTTTTTTTTTTTTTTTTGTGTCATCTGCTGGGGGAGTTACACCATTTGAGAGGCTGGTGTATATGATGCGCGCATTTGGCGGTAGCATGAGGGTAATGCCCATGCCTATGTATTATATGTATGCGTTTGATGCGTGTGATTATTGTGTACATGCCGGCTGCACCTACGTTCAAATGGAGGCAAGCCATTGTACGAATGTTACCCAACTATAAGCACACGCGCTGCTTTAGTGTTGATCTCTTTAAAAGAATCTTTTTTTTTTTTTCCGTTCGAACTACCTCCTTGCGCTTGTTCAAGCCCTCCTTCCCTCCCCCCTGAAAATAGCGTTATGGCGGAAAGTAGGAGTGTGTTCCGCATCTCTTTGCGCACAACTGCCATCCCGCCTTAACTGCGAAGTTTTTTTTTTTCTGTTTCTCTGTGTTTTTTTGCGGGGTGAACCAACGCAGCGTCAATTTTCAGATCAAATGAATACACCATTTGGAGGAAAAAAAAAAAAAAAAAAAAAAGTTTAACGTTAAAGGGGGGGAAGCGAAAATACTCCACACACCACTGCGAAGCGAACAGAAACAGGACAATCGCTCTCTCCCTTCTGCACAGTATACAGAGGAAGGGAAACGAAAAGAACTTTGAAACGAAGAAGTTTGGGCTCTTGCCTCTTTCTTACCCTACCCGAAGTATACACAATAACCATTGGCGAATATGAGAATTGCCTTCATCATGACAGACCCTCCCCACATGTGTATTTTTTCCTACTGCCCTTCCTATGTCCACAACACATGACAGGTGTGACATGAGTCCATTGCATGGCTCTTTTTTCCCATCGCTCTACACACACACACACATATTGGTGGCGCACAGACCCATCCGTAGAAAAAAATGAGTATAAAATTTGTGCTGATGTTGTTTTTGTTTTTCGTGACAAATACAAATGTACTTAGCAAGAATCCCGACATTTTAAAGTTCAAAGCGTTTATTCTGCGCGCACAAAATAGCCAGTACAAAATTTTAAATCTGCACAACAGCAGCATTAAAAAGATTAAAGAAATTCAAAAGAGCTTCAAAACAAACGTTTTTGTTAGCAAGCAAATTAAGGTAACGTCACGCGTGTATTTCTTCCACGTGCGTATTTCTCTTACCCCTGTGTGTGTTCATGGCACTCCCCGATGTCTTCATCTTTCACTCCCCCTGACAGGATTTCTCCAAACGAATAGATGCCTTCAAGTTGCACCTAACCAGCACCCCCGCCCTGTCCATAGTTGTTAAGTAACGCATGAAAAATAGCATGTTATTCGTTTGAACAGAAGCCTTTTTCCTTGCTCACATATTTGCACGCGCCGCATTCCCAGCATCATGCCCCTGCCGCTTCACCCCACAGGTTTTTTAAAGATAATGCAAAGAGCCTGAGGTTGTCCGCTTTGCACTTTATAAGGTATACAGGGGTGCACCTTCTCCGCGCGCACATATATGTATGCATGCACACATGCACACGTGTAACAGCTGGGGTTGGTCCTGGCTCTCCTCAAAAAAGAAGCGAGCTTCAAATCTCCCACTTGTTCCCCCCCCTCCCTTTGCAGAATATACAAATTTATAATTTACATTAGATGCCTCCTAGAGTGGCTTCCCCAAATCAACCCTCACCTCAACCCCTTTTCATACATTTTCACCTACACGAATAGCTACGTCCAGTTTTTCCATGTAACTAGCCAAAAATGAAAAAAAAAAAAAAAAAAAAAAAAAAAACACACAAAAAGTGGAAAAATAGAAAAAAAAAAATATGAACAAGTCATATAAAAAAAAATTCACCCATTCATACGCACCCCCCCCATACCCCTACCGCAGAAATACGTCCCGAACGTTTTTGGAATAGATCTGAGTGGTGTCTTTTCTTGGCTCCTTCTCGAAATGATAGAAAGTTATTTGTCTTAACAAGAGAATTTGTCTCACCTAACAGCTGTGCAGTCGCATGGCGGATGGTGACGCATTAACAGTCATAACTTTTATTTTTCTGTATTTTTATAATTGTCATACCGTTGCTGCAAAGTGCCGCAGAATTGTCAACAGTCACAAGGTAGGGCCCATCTTGAACAGATAATTATACAACGTGGCGCTCGCCATCGCCCGCCCCAGTCCGACGCGATGTTTCGATCGGAGGCGCACTTCCGCATGCTGGCCAACCTGCGCTTTCTGGAATTACAAAAGTTGCTCCTTAAAAGGTTTCAAATTTTCAAGAATGAAGAAATAACTGTGCTCAAGAAAGGCAACATGAAGACCATTTTGAACGAATGGGCTGAATTCTTAACCAAGGAGCAGAAAAGGACAAACATCACACACATCCCAGATGAAGTGTTGCAGAGTAAAAAGGTGGCCGACATTTTGAAAGACGACATTGAATGCAGGTGGTTGGTTGATCGGATCAATGTGGGCAGTAATCAGGGCGGTGTGAATGACATTATTAGTGATGCTGACCTTGGGCACGATGGCTCCGCGCTGAGCAAAATGGACCAACTCCATTTCGATGAGTATCCAAACTTGTTCTATTACGAGTACCCGCAATTCCCGTACAACTATTATGACAAAAAAAAAATGAGCAACTTTTATTCGCTTATAAAATTCCCCTACAACGATATATTAAATATTTCGAGGAAGATCAAAAGGGATGTGACCCCCCCGGGTGGTAATGGTAATGCTGAGGAGGGGAAGATGAAGCAGAGCGAGAAGCCGCGAGCGGACGCGTTGGAATCAACGCATGTCGACGTAGTTGATGATGACTTCATGAATTACTCCAGCAATAGTTATGTGTATGCCCCCTCGGAGATGGAGACGTCGAAGGAGAACTACCATGAGTAGGAAGAAGCGGCGCATAGGCGCAGTGACCCGTCACCGCCACGACGCACAAAAAAAAAAAAAAAAGTTTACCCCGGAATATCCATCTTGGGAACGTTAAACGTTCACTTTTAAAGCGAAATGAAAATACAAACGTCAAACTTGTTTATTAAAAAAAAGGGGGGAAAAAAAAAAATTGACTACCCCCACCCCCCGTTTACACATAATTAGTACGCAGCGGGGTGGCGTCCAAATGGGGCGAATGAAGCCACACAAAGCCACTGCCCTACAGGGCACAACGTAATATCCGTATAGCTGTCCACATGTGCGGCAACAGAAAATTTGTTTTCAGTTTTTCTTTTTTATGTTAAAAATTGCTATCCCATCGCGGTAGGGTTCCGTTGTGGCGGATTCCATCGCGGGTGCCTCACGTGCTACTCCCTTTTTTTCTGTCTCGACGAGTACAAACTTTTAAAAAGTAACTTAAACTTACGAAAGTACAACAAGGAGCTTTCCAGAATGGTTCTCATTTTCTCCACCTTGGTGTTGCTCGAAGGTTTCTCTCTCCTCCTCTGCTTTAGGAAGTAGTTGAGGTATTTGAGGGCCCTGCGGAGGGAAGGAAGAGGTGAGAAATGGGTGCAATGTGTGTGTGGGGGGTAAGTCACACATTAGGGGAAGGGCAAAAGGATGGCAAAAAAAAAAACCTCTTAGGGTTAGCTGCACAATAAGTGCGGCAAAATGTGTATACCTATTCGGATCCATATTCTTCTCGTAGTATAAAGAAAGCGGAACGAGGTTACGCAGGTCACCCTTGCTCAACCCTAACTTGTGGTAGCTAATTGCCACGCTGTCCTTATTCTCCTCTTTGTATATCTCCCCAATTTCATAAAGCGCTTTGTAATTGCCCTGCTTATACATGAGGTGTAGCATCTGCATGACCTTTTCTGGCTTGATGAAACTGTTGAATCGGTTATGTCTGTAAATGTATATTAAATTGCTTTGTGCAACTTCGTATCCTTCATACGCGGCCAGGGCGTAGGTGTAGAAGGCCTTTATGTACTCCTTCTGTACGTAGTAGTTCATGCCTAAGGGGAGCGAGCACGCGCATGTACACGTATGTGAAGTGTGCGTGAGATTAGCGCTAGAGATGGACGACAAAAATGCGCAGAGATGTGCACACGAAAACATGGGTGGCGTCCTCCCGTCTTACCTTCCCTAATTTGATTGGTCCACATGGTGCTCTCTGCGACGAACTTGTAGGACAGGGCCGCATTCAAACAGGATCCCTGCACCCCCTTCCCGATTTCGTACAGCTGCGCTTCGCGGAAGTAGGCCTGTACATAACCCAGGTCAGCCGCGTGTTCATATAATTTGAAAATGGTGCGGTACACAGTGTCCGCGATGTGGTGCTTCTTTATGGCTATGTCCAGGATGATTTCCGCGAGGAAGAAAAAGGCTTCTCCGTAATCGTGCTTGGCTGCCTCCACGAGGTACTTGATCGCCAGCTGCATGTTTCTGTGTTCGTCCACGAAGTAGTAGATGTAGCCGAGGTAGCACTTGGACTCCACGTCCCCCGCGGCGGCGGCCTGAGGGTAAAAAAGAAGGTGGAGTGGGTTAAGCGGCCACTCGACGCACTCCTCACGCCGCTACTAACAGCGCTACTCAAGCCACTCCTCACGCCACTACTAACAGCGCTACTCAAGCCACTCCTCACGCCACTACTAACAGCGCTACTCAAGCCACTCCTCACGCCGCTTTTGACAGCGCTACTCACCTTGGAGAAGCTCTCGATACTCTTCCTGACATCCCTCTGCGTGCCATAGCCGTACAGATAAATGATTCCGAGCTCCTTCTGCGCCAGCGCGTTGTTCTTCTTAGACGCCTCGCTAATGTACTCAAACGCTTTGCTGAAGTTCCGCTCCTCTTTATATTTTTTCCCCAAATCGTACATAGCCATGACGTCCCCCCCCTTTATCTGCTCGTTCAAAAACTCCAGCACGTCCTCCTCATTATCCTTCATGTTATTTATTTCATTCTGCATGCTCAGGTTGTCCACATTCAGCACGTCCATCTCGGAGAGGGGTACGTTAATATAATCTGAGTTCATAACTCGCTCCGCTACACTCTTATAATACTCCTTTGCCTTTTCACAACTGCTCTTGAGGTTAATGCCGTAGAGGTATTTGTAAGCAATGGCTAAGACAGACGGGGTGTAGTTCAGTGCACATGCTTGTAATTCATATTCCATTGAAGTTTTTATAAGAGGATTGATTATCTTTTGGTGGTTGTTAGCTTGGGGGTCACTATGTGTGAGACTACCACCACTGATCTTTCCCTTGGACACATATTTCCTTTTCACATTTCTCCTGTCCATGTGTGTTTTTCTCTTCTTCTGCGGGAGATTTTCCTCGTCCTTTTCATCACCATAGGAGTGGCTGCTTCTCTCTTCATACTTCTTACCACTGTCCCCCTCGCTGCTAACGTTGAACTCGAAAAAGTAAATGAACGCTAAAAAATGGAGGGCTGCTGGATTCCTCATTCTACCAGCTCTCTCTAGCAAGTGAATACTTAACTTCACATTCCGTTTGTAAGAAAAAAAATAATTGTGATAGCCAATGAAATGTATTTTGCCCAACTCGTAGTAGGACGATGAGGTTATGTGGTCCTTCTTTCCCTGGACAAGCTGTTCGAAAATACTTATACTTTTGTTAATGTTTTTTTTCCTGTTGTTTGATCCATCTTTCAGTTCCATGGCCAGGTTGAACAGCTTGGACCTCTCGTCTTCTCCATCCCCACCTCCGCCGTTTCGCTCGTCGCCCTGCTGGGGGGCTTCCTCATGTCGGCTGTCCCCACTTCCGAACTGGTGCACATGGGCGCTACTCACATGGCCGCTCCCCACATCGTCCTGGTCCGCCCAGGTGCTTTTCAACATTGCCGCGGCACTCTCCAGCGGGCTACCCTCTCCCAGCCCCTCCACCCGTTCGGCTTCTCCCCCCCAATTATATACATGCCCCTCCACCTGCGCATCTTTAATGGAAAATAAAAAGTTGGTGTTGTTCACAATTACGTTATACCCATGGATTGTCTTTAGAGCGTAGAGGAGTAGTGTGGCCAGAGGAGCAGAAACTTTTATCATAATCGCTTCCTTGGCACTTCACGGAAAACGTTTTTTTTTTTTTTTTTTTTTTTTTGGGGGGGGAGACAAACGAGAGGATGTGTTCCTCTGCTCTCTCCTTTGTCATATCGCTCGGTCGGGGACCGGCAGACGAGCAGCATATACATGTGAAGATGCTCTCATGAGAATAATACACATTTACAGGGGTGCCACCACGCGTATGTGCTCATTGGGCTACTTTTTGCATGTGGTGGGTTCCCGTAGCGTCAACTGCAAAAGCTCCACCGCGGGATGTCCCAGCGCATACAACAGTTCTGTTCATGAGGCAACCCGTGGGGAAGGCAGAAAAGTGAAGTCACGCAGCGCCACGCACTCACTTCAGCGATTAGCCATTCTCTTCTCTCGGGGGGGGGTTCTTCATTCAGAAGAGGAAAGAAGCAAAAGGGATGGAGAAAAAAAAAAAAAAAAAAAAAAAAAAAATTACTGTTCATACAAAAGCGTACACCGCTTGGGACTGAACAATTAAAACAAGGCAAACCAAAATCTTTGCCCTCATCCCTCGACGTTCATTTCTTCTCTTTCTGAGAGCAGGGCGCGTCCGTCCCGCATAATTTTTGTGTCGCACCGGCTTGGCCCCGTGGTGCCGCAATCGACTCGGCACAAAAAAGGATACAATGCACAAGCTGACATACATGCGTGTAGGGGCTGCTTCATCTACTGGAGGGGGAGAAGCCCTTCCATGCAACAGACCAAAAAAATCACACATTGAGATGGCTTTAATTTTTGTCGCTGCTAATCTTATAAAAGTTTGCCTCCCCTACACAGCACGAAAATTTCACCGCAAAGGAGGACGAGGCAACAGGTGGGTGAGAGAAAGAGAGAGGAGCAGTGCTTCTTGTTTCGTTTCCTCCCCCCCCTCGACAGGAACCATACATTTTAAAAGGAGCCACTAAATTGGCGCACAGGGGGAGAATTTTTGTGCAAAATATGTCCCTGCGCTGTAGGCATGAGGGGGAGGGACACGAGGAACAGAAAACTCCCCATTCCCCACACTCCAGACTGAAGAGTGGTGACGAAAAAGTGTAACATGCACAGATTTTTTTTTTTTTTTTTTTGTACTCATCACCTGCTCCCTCAGCGTGATATACCTTCCCCACCACTGCAACGGATGCAAAGTGGAAAAAAAAATATGAAAGCAGCGGACGACGTGGAGGAAGCGGATCCAGGTGACGCGTCAATTTTACCAAATGACAATGAGGAGGGGGACTGCAGTTATAGCTGCGCAGTGGACAGTCCTCTTGGGGAGAGCCGAGGCGAAATGACGGCAGAGGAAGGGAATGGAGAAGCGGTAACACCTTCACACAACGACGCCACTTCATACAATGGCTCTCCCCAGAGCGAGGAAGGATGTGCGAAGAGTGAAACACACAAAAAAAAGGAAGCAAACGAATCGCTAATTCAAGACAACGGGGGAAGACAGCTCAGCGTGCAATTAAGAGATGGTGAAGGGGAAAGGGAAGTAATCACTGCGGGTGAAAATGAAACGGAAGACGCCCCCTTAAGTGACGCCTCCTTCAGCGAGGCCTTCTTCGACCAGGCGTCCCAATTTCAAAAGGCCCCAGAAGAACCGAAGGGGTACAGCCAAGCACAACTAGCAGATTTATACAAGGAGATAAAAAAATGTGAAACTCTCTTTTTGAGCCACTTCAATTGCACAGGAGATGACTCCACACAAATGGAGATGACAAGCAGTGGGGATGAAGCGAAAGAAGAGAGGCAAGAAGAGAAAGGTAAAGTCAGCATCATTCCTCAGGTTGACTTCACTTGCATGGAAACCATTCCCCAGCTCATACGACATGAGGGCATGTCCGACCATGACGACCCACCCATGGAATGGCACCTCCGCAAGCACGTTCAACAATTCACACAAGAACAGAAAAAAAAAAATAAAAAAATGAAAATGAATAAGTACTACATTGGGGTTAAGAATTATCTGAATACCTTGCCGCCCAGTCTTGACCAAAAAATTTGTAAGTCATTTTGTCTTGTCCCTTAATGGGGTGTTCCCCCCTGTGGGATAGGCGCGGCGGCCCCCCCTTGCCCCGGCGAATGCCATCACGTTCGCTCCACTATGTTATCACCTCCACCATCACCCCCTCCCATACCGTAATGCATTTCTCATTCGCAGTTAAGGAGTACCGAAAAAACTTTTAGCCACGGAGGAGAGTTACCCCCCCCAGGATGGAGACACCACACACGTTTGGGAAGGCATTTGCAAAAAAAAAAAAAAAAAAAAAAAAAAAAAAATGCTATTAACGGGATGGGATATCCACCCCACGTACCACTCACTACCATCTCAATGAGTCTAATGCGTGTAGTTGAAGTTCCACATGGAAGTATCATCATCACGTTGGAGGGTTAGCAAAGTTTTTTTACTGTTTAGGGGACCATCACTGTCCTCTTTTTTTTTTTTTTATAAGTAAATTATAACTCCCCTGTTATTGAAATAACTGGAGTTGCACTTGGTGAGAGGAACTCGCTCTCGTTTGTAATCCTCATTGTGATCCTCATTGTGGTCCTCATTGTGGTCCCATGATGGAACGTCTAGCGATTTGCCCCTTTTTTTCCATTTTCTTGGCTTTACAGGTGAGGAGTTATCCTCACTGCGGCCTGGATCTGTCAAGGTGCTTTCTTCTGTCTTCCGCCTAAGGAGTGCCACCTTCCCTTTTGTCGTCGGCTTATGTTCTTTCCTGCGGTGGTGATTGGGTGATAAGCGGTGGTCAGTTTAGGCACATCGTTCATGTGTCCACTTGGAGACCGCTCCTAGCCCCCCTCCATGGGGGAAGCAAAGAAGGAAGAAAACAAAATCGTTGAAACTTCTTTATCCCTGCTCACCTTGTTGAGACACCCCCATCAAGTGGATCATCACCACCCCATGCAGAAAGCAGCTCTCCACCTTGTGAGTGGGACTTTTGTGATGAGTAATTTGTTTCCCCCTTTAAATAATTTCCCTTATATGCGTCTTCCTGTTCGGCCCAAATGAACTCGTTGAGGTCTCGAAATTTTTCATAGCTGTGTGGAACAGTACCGCCAAAGGACGCAGATTTGTTGAAGATAATTTTGTTTGCTTCTCCTAAGGGGGGGCAACTCCTACCTCTTCTGTGCCCCTTTGCAAAATCACATGTATGGCCATAGCTATTTTGTAGAAGGCACCTTTCGCATATGATGTTTGCCTTTATGTTACTCCGTATCATGGAAGATGATGTGAGGGAAGAGGTGTCAGTGGTTGCTTGTTCAGACTTAACAGAGTCGCTGTTTGTGCTAGTGGATGGGACAGACAATATGCTTTTCTCACTCTCTTCATTCGTTTTGCCAATCTGGTTTGTTTCTTCCCCCAAACATTTCGTCACCCCTTCGCAATTAATTTTGTGGACTATTTGCTCCTTTTGCATGCCCCTCCTGGGGGCCTTCCGAACGGCTAATTCCTTTTTCTCTTCATCATATTTCTGCGGTGCGGAGATGAAGGGAACAAATTTGGAAAAAATGGGAAATAATTAGGAGCTCCCCTAAATGGGAGCGCACAGTTTTTAAGACGCACACAAATGGCAGCTTTTGCAAAATGGAGGGAAAACCTTTCGCTGAAAGACGCACATATTCCCTCCCATTGTTACGGGCGTTGCGCAGAGCGGGATGGGCAAAAAAGAAGAAAAAATCTCGAATTGGCGTAGAACATAAAAAGGGATTGCCCAATATGCTTTGTCACACGGGACGCACCCCTTTTTGACACACAAAAAAAAAAAAAAAAAGCGTTGTGTTATAATTTTGTCTACTTGGAAAATTGCAACATGGTAACATTGCAACATTGCAGTTTTTCGGTTTTGTGAAGCAGCGGCTTTGTGCCTGTCTACGCAAATTTACAAAACGGTATGCAAAAGTACGGGCGCTATATTTCAGTTGGCTTGTTTTTTCGAACGCGCTTAACGACTTGTTGACGTCCTCTTTTGGCGAAATTGGAACATTAAAAGAAATGCGTCTCCTTGGTGGAGCTTCACTTTGTGCTGCTTTTATTTTGTGTGGTTTTCACTTTATGGAAGCTTAACACCCTGCTTTAACTCTCCTTTGCCAGTAAGCCAATAGGGCGCACGCTGCACACAAAACTTGCGAACGTTTTCTGCAAGCCCACTTGACCCATTTCGACCGTTGCAAATTTTATGAACACAGTGCAGTTTTTTTTTTTTTTTTTTCTACACATTTGTGGCTAGCTGGAAAAAAAAAAAACACTAGCCACGGGGAGATTGAAAATTACCTAAGTTTGCACACACGGCAAAAAAAATCAACATTTCGCTAATTTGTGGTTGCGTAAAATTGGCGAGCAACAGATCCGTAGCAACGTTGTGCTGTTTCCACCTTTCGAACAGGACCACTTTTACAGGCGCGCTTTCGAGCAAGTGGTCGCCCCTTTCAATTTACATTCCAAAAAAATTAAAATAACCTGACCCGTTCATAAGTTTTTTAGGAAAAAAAAAAAAAAAAAAAAGGCAAATAAAAGGATAAAACTCTGCGAAACTCCGCAAACTTGCGCTAAACCGCCGCTAGCCTCCTGACGGCGGGTGGCACATTTTCGTGGGTCCCCTTTCTTCCGGATCAGCTGGCATGGACAACGCTTAAAATGGACACACTACACGCCTTACATTTTCTCCTTTGGCGCCTTTCTGTCTAGGATCTTTTTACGGTTCTTGTCAATTTTCAGTTTGGTCAAGATGACGTTGCTGGGGTGGATACCAATGAAGGTGGACTCTCCGTTGGCCTTTTCCCTGGTTACTCTTTCCACGTATATTTTAAATCGCTTTCTGTTTATCTTCACAACTTTTCCTTCTCGGCCGTGGTTGTGTCCTCTGCAAATGAGGACTTCGTCGTCCTTTCTCACTGGCAGAGCTCGGGTCTACAAAACAAAATATAAAATGACAATAAAATAAAATACGTAACGATACGCGATGATGCTGGGTCGTCATGACGAATGCGCATCCCGCCTCATGCACATAAACGCAGGTATACAATTTTGCCGGCGGCTCAACAGGAGGCCTAACTCTCTTACCTTATATTTTAATCTCAATTCCTTTGACAATTTGGAGGACATAATTTTCCTCCTAAGTCCAGCTGGCGCAGTGAAATGCGCCTTTCTCATTTTCCTTCGAGAGGAGGATATTTCTAACGGAAGGGGGGGGGAAGGGACGCGTTAGTAATTAGTAGCGTAAAGCGGGTGCGCAACATCTCACACCGTGCGGCGATACATAGTTACACGAGAGAGGGCAAGGGTTCAGTTGCATAGCAGTATATAAAACGATCACACGTGTATGCGCGAAAGTACATGTATATTTTGGTTAACTTCGCAGAGGGCGAATGCCGATACGCACGTTTGGCATCGTTCTGGGAAGCTGCTCCCCCGAACCGCGTGCCAACGTGTTCATATCCACATGGTATACATCGCAGCATCACGCGTACACAATGATCTCTCTCATATGCGCAAGTCGGCCAAGTGGCCCATCCAAGCACTGTGACGGATGTACGGCGGGAGAAGCCCTAAACACGTGTATGGCTCTCCATTTAAGTAGTGTTTGTAAACTTACTCTTGTTGAACTTCATTTTTGGAAGGAAGGCGAAAATTTTATTATTTGGGCTAAAACGAGGATTCTCTCCAAAAGTGGATATAATGAATGATGCGGAATTGTTTCCCTATAAGTTTTTTTTTTTTTTTCTTTTTTTTTCTTTTTCCTCTTGTACAACTCTGCGTTATATAGTTAACAATTTAGAGGTAAAAAAGAATTTAAAAAAATCAAGTCAAAATAAAAACAATTTTTTTTTTTTATGCATTTCCAAAGTCACGGTTTCAATTAAAGTGCGGTTGGTCGTAGGTTTCAATAAGGGCATATTATTATATAAATGTTATGAACAAGGTTTATATGCGCGGCGTTGCGGCGTGTATGTTTTTTTTTTTTTGTGATCTTCGGCAACTAACATTTGGAAATTATTCTTGGACGATGCCACATAATATAATATAAATAGCGTGCGCGCTCGTAATTAGGAAATGAGTGCCCCGCAAATGAGGCGGGGGGGTATACATATAATATATAGAATTTATGCCCTTAAAATGTAGGCGGCCGGCTACGTCTCCATTTCTTGCCCTTTGGATTGTCATACCTTTTTTTTTTTCTAATAAAAAAATGTAGGTCACGTGTTGGTTTAAAAATTCCTGCAGGCTTGCACAAGTCATCCACTTTTTACTTCAACGGGGTTGAGCTTGCAAAGTAGTGGTGGGATACAGGGCGATCATTGCTTCGTTGCACCTGTTTGTCGCCCGGATTCATGTGCTAGGGTATGGATTTTATATGACCTTATTAGAGAAGAGGGTAAAAAAGAGGCAGTATCAGCAGATTTCAAAAAGGGACGTCCGGTTTGTTTCCCCCGTGTAATGGGAAGTGTAATGCACGGGAATGCTGGCATACCATTAAAGGGCCCAGTGGATTTGCATACCTTTATGCGCAATCTTAAGTGGTGCGTTAATTCCGATGGGAAGTATGGACTATTCGTGAGCTCATATAAACAGAGGTCCTATAGCTCAGTTGGTTAGAGCGTACGGCTAATAACCGTAAGGTCGGCGGTTCGAGACCGCCTGGGACCAAAGCAAAAAAAAAGTATATAAAAAATGAATTATAAAAAATAATGAAAAATTTTTTTTAATGCTGTTTACAAAATCCTATTTATAATTAATAAAATAACGTGGCGGAAAAGGGCGTGGATATGTTTTCATATAAGTTCCTTTTATGTTTCCCATGATTCGTATTAATATATCATCGCATTCATCATATGAAGACGGTGCGCTCCCCAATTGGATGGTGGAGCTGCAAATATAAGATTACGTGTATAATTTTTATATGCCGTTTTTTTTTGCTCTTTATATTGGCGCATGTTGTTGTCCCACCCACAAAATGTGGAAAGTAACCTTTCTGGAGGGGCTAACAGAAAACAATAAAACGGGGCTGATGACTGACTTTTTTATATAATGGAATATGGTAACCAGCCTAGGGTGAAAAAAGCCAGAGAGAGATATTGTTGCGGTTTATTGCCGACGTCAACCCTATTAATAACATTGAGATATTATTGTAACAGGGTTTTTCTTCCTTTGGCGTTACGGCACCGTGCTTGTTCCCGTACCAAGGGCGTGGCCAATACAATATACATGGGAAGCATTAAAAAGGTGGAAAAAAAAGTACACATAGGACTTTAATGACGCTGTAGGTTCTATCTTAGGGGTATTTTAACCCATAATAAAAAATGTAGTTAAATTATAAAATTATCATAGCCGTTAAACACATGTTCGCGAGCAATTTGGAAAGCATAAAAGGGGCATTAGCTTTAGTTTTTTTTTTTTTTTTTTTACGAGCACCGAGGATCGAACTCGGGATCTTTCGCGTGTGAGGCGAACGTCATAGCCACTAGACCATGCTCGCTTACAGATGATAATTTCATCACATCCATAATAATACAATACGGATGCTCGGCACGTTTACAGCTTCCAATTTTGTTTACTCCCCATTTTTTTTTTGTTTTTTTTTTTTTTTTGGAAATATATTCCCTCCCCATTTTTATTTTTCCCTTTTAGCTAAATGGGACATTTCCCTTCTCTTAAGTTCCTATGCCTCTTCATGTTTTAATCCTCTTCGATGTCGTTCTGATCATTATGCATTGTAACCATGTTGCCCTCTTTTCCGCTTTCTTAAAGGGGAACCTTTTCGTGCAGTGCCAATCCCCACAGTTTGACCCCATTTGATTGTATTGTGCGGGGTAATGTCCACATCGTTTTAGCCCCCCAGAGGGACTGCTAATAATAGGACCCACTTAGTAAAACGCATTTGATGGGGAACACAACAGGACAAGCTACTTAGCCCCTTAATTGTGGTCACAAATATTTACAAACAAATTATTCGTATTAACAAATGGGAAAAAAAAAAAAATGTTCATTTTTGTGCAATTTCGTCTGAACGGTGCAGGTAAAAAAATAAAAAAAAAAAAAAAAAAGTTGACACAGCGAACAACAACTCATGTGTGCAATGTTTTTTTTTTGTTACAAAATAGCTAGCTTCTATATATATGGGAACATATTAGGAGAGGTAAACTTTTACTACCCTCCTCAGGGTGATATCATCTCAGAAAAGAGGCCAAACCAGGTTATATATTATTTTGTGTCACTTCGGAAGCGCTGCTCTTCGTCGTCATGAACTGTCCACTTGCAGCCTTCCTCTTTATGTTAAAAATGTGAAAAAGAAACAACAGCACGTAGGAAAGAATAACTATTTGGATAAGCACCTGAGAGTGGACAGGCCCTCCGTAATACTTAATGTATTCGAATGATTTAAAGGAAAGGAAAAAGGCAACAGACGCGAATGCATTAATTATTCCAATCAGGACTGCAAAATTGTGTTCGCGAAATACAGTCGACATGTACATGTACATATGGTTTGCAAAAAAACTTTGGTGAAAAAAATAAATGATCAATGACAGGTACCCAACAAATACACTCGCCGTTTTGTAGTAGACCCAAGTTAAAGAAAAAACTGAAATCCCCAAAATTAAATTGAAGCTAATAAAATTGTATATGCTTATAATATCAGCTATTATGCCAAATGTTAAGGTGATAATAAAGCTTGAGGGTAACACGAGGGAGTATACGTTTAGCGTGTCTCCAAATACACTATGCTCGTAAATGTCAAACAGGGAAAACATAAAGTAGCAAATGCTGAACGTTATGGTGAAAAACTCGACTACGATGAATTGATAAAATGGCGATTTCACTTGGTTCTTCAGGGCGTCCAGGTCGATCTGTCCCCACAGCTGGGTGCTCTTCGTGTTGGGCGTAATCTGCTGGCTGATCGCCACGTTGTCGTCGGTAGTTTTTCCCCTTCCCTCATCGAGCAAATTCGCAATGAAGAACGCGGGGACGATGCACACCAAAATGTACATAGACACCACCACGGTGATGTTGTTTTCCCCTTTGAATGCGTTAAGCAAGGCCAACAGCACGTTTCCCACGAAGAGACTTAGCACGGCCAGGGAAGACATGGTACTGATGAGGATATAATTTTTGTTCTTCAACATTTTTTTTAAGGCACCTAGTTTGCTTTCCCCTGGGTGATTTGCGCTCTCCGCGTGCTGACTTTCATTTGCAGGGTCGCTACTGTCCTTTGCGGGGTCGCCACTTTTGCGTGTCCCTTCCCCCTGTTCCACTGGATAGTTCTCGTTAACGTAGTATATGATGGGTAGGTACGAGTTGTCCGACCCGATTCCGAAGCAGGCGAATGCCAGGGTGAAGAGGAGCGAAATGGTTTGGAAAACGTCGTGGTGGGTCCCCAAGCTATCAGGACTTGCACCACTAGTGCCAACCTTCGAGTACCCTTCCATGTAGTGCTTCGAATATGAAAGGGCAACGCTCAGCAAAGTCCACCCCGCGAACAAAAAGGCAAAGGCCACGCGCGACACATATTTCTTCTTCGAAAAAACATTAATTAGTATACTTCCAATAGAGCCAGAAATGAACTGAATGATTAACCCTGACACTAGCAAAAATTGAATACAATTTTCCTGCTCCTTGCACACAAAGAAGTCCCCCCCCATTTTGTCACTCCCTCCTTTGCACAGCCATTCGTATGCTCTATACCTCTTAAACAGGAAGGCTACAAAAATATAGTTCTGATAAACGATGGCCGTGGTTGCTATGCTGTACATGAACAGGGGGATGATGGTCTTCCCACTTGGCGGCCCCATTTTTGCTCCTCCGCGGTTGGTGGGCTGCGATTATGAGGCTACGACGAACTGCAGTGGAAGAGGACCTGCGTTTAGGGGTCTCCTAACACCATGTTATTAGCCTTACGTAGTTTCTCTCTTGCTGCTCATCTTGTGGTATTCTTCGCGTGGCCTTTTTTTTTCAGATAATTCTCTCCATTGCATTATTCACAACATGAGAGTTTTTCCTTTCCCCCATTTTTTCGGGTCAACTTGGTGATTTTTTGTGCCCCACGCACAATTGCATGCCGATCGCAGTTGCTTCCCCCTCATGGCACATGCAAGTGCACGCTTGGGTGGGAGAGTGTAAGGGATCCATACGTAGTAAAGCTCCACCTGCAGGTGAAGTGAAGGTACATGATTCACTTCTTTTTTTTTTAATTTTTTTTTTTTTTTTTGGGTGTATTTCTTCCCCTGGGCGAAATTCCCCCCACCTGATTTGTTGGCATACCATTGCACAGTCAGGGGAAAACTGTTAAGTTTTGTGGAGGCAGTGCGTGTGGAGAGATAATTAACAATACGTGGTGAACTATGTCGTCCCTTAACTGCGGTGTGCTTGTTTTTACCTGAACACTTCAGTTTTTCCTCCAACGTGTTCGTAACTGCGTGGTTTGTATAATTGTGGAAAAGGGGAATGGCCTCTTCACTCCGCCCCACCCCTGCACAGTGGGCCACACATTTGCACAGCTCCCTCGTTTTTGTTTTAAGCGCCATTTACGCCACGTCCTGCTTGCGATGTGACGTCATTTCGAGAGTGAACAAAATGTGCAGCGACTTTTCTCGCGTTTATTTTAGTGTGCATCATGTGGTAGATTAAAGAAGCAAAAGTGAGGGCCCAATGTTAACCATATGTGAGGAACAACTCCCTTTACGAAGCCGCCTAGTCGGTCGCAACGGTCATAACGCGGTCAGCAATGCATGGGTAAAATGAGCGTTGCCCATTTTCGTGCATACCAAACCACATGTGATCATACACACCGTTCCCGTGTCCACACGTGTCCGTATGTGTGTGCGTAAATGCCACTCCCCGGCGAAGCGGAAAAAAAAAAATTTTTTCCAAAAAAAAAAAAAAAAAACTCCACCTGTGTGCTTTCATTTGTGTAGTAAGTTAACAATTAAACTGGTCACCCAAGGAGCGACTCCTAGCGGGCATTATCCTCCAAACGCGTGCAGCATCCATGCAGAAGCGAACATGCCACACCTTCACGACTTGCAGCGTCGATTTGTTTTCGTGCCCATGCACACGGGATGTATCCCTTGGGAGCGTTTTAAAGTGAGAACATACCTACATACGTTGCTCTTGTCCGCTTCCTAAATATGTGCGCAGACGGAATGAATGGGCGTGTACACTAATCATATATTTTTTTTTGCGTGGCATTTTATCTGTTTAGTTGGTTATGTTTGGTCCCCCCCACCTACAACGCCACGGGGGGTCTCCCTCCCCCTTGTGGCGCTTGATATGCACAGGCATATGGGTCCACGCGCCACCGCAACACGAGAACACTTCTATCTGGTGCGAGATGATCCCTTTTTTTTTTTTTTTTTTTTCGAAAACACAAGGCGCGAGCACACGGGGAAGGGACAGGGGGAAATGCACACAGGTGAGCTAAAGCAATCCACTCAAAAAAAAAAAAAAAGGTTAAACAGCGCTCTTAAAGACGGGTGAAACAGTCCTTTACCTACCCACGTCGCGCATGCCGCAACACACTCCTCTGAACTGCCCAACGAATAACAGCTTTTTCACGCCCTGTACGAGCACACACAGTGAGGGGAAAAAATAAAAAAAAAAAAAAAAAAAAAAGGCAACATACTTTACCGGGAGGAGGGGTTACATGAAAAAGGCTCCGCGCTCACTTCCTGACTGTCCCAAATCCAACACACAAATTATGTGCGCCGGTTTGCCACGAAATTCCCCAAGAGTGTTCCACCCTGCAGGCACATGCACAAATCACCTGCACAGCACCTCATGTACATCTCGAACTGCTGCTCGTTCGTCAAACCATTGGAAGTGAAAAAAAAAAAAAAAAAATTTGCTCATCGACTCCCAAACAAACTTGCTACAAAAAAACAAACGCAGAACAGGAAATTTTTTGTATGCCTAATTTTATAAATCACAATTGTGTGCGCCCAATGGACTTGATGTCACATCATTTTTTCACATTTTTCCACACCCTTTTTCCACATCCTTTTTCCACACGGCCTCGCGCGAAAAGCCACATGCACAAAAAAAAAAAATAATCGAAAAGGTACAAGCGTAAATACACGCGTAAATACAAGCAAAAATACACGTAAAAATAGGCCCAAAAATACACGTAAAAATACGCACAAAAGTTCGCGCAAAAGTTCACGCTAAAAGGTACACTCAAACAGGTGCACCAAAAAGGCACAGGGCGAAAGGCACACACGCACACACACACACGCGCGCGGCAACATGAAGCCTTGGTGAACATGCTCCCCTCGGCGATGAACAGCTCGAGCTGCGCACGTCGGTCAGCCAAGTTGGTGCGGGGGGAAATGCGCTACTCAGGTGGATCGCTGTGCGCACGTGTATGCTCATGTGTTTCACTTACACGCTAAACACATGCATACATGAGAACGCGCAGGCACCCGGTACGTGTTAGTAGCTAACCGGCAAGCCAAGCGAGAGACGCTTTTTTTTTTTTTTTTTTTTTTTTTTTTTTGTTCATACCAACATATGCGGGCGCCCGCAAGTGAGAAAAAAAAGCCCACTGACGCGCTTCCCCGGTCTAATTTCATTCTCCAAAACACTCCAAGCGTCACCCCACCTGCCCCGCACTGCAACTGACTCCAGCTCGAAGACGTAACAAAAGGAAGGACACCGCAGGGGAATATGAAAGATTGGCACACAGGTACGCCCGTGCGAGAGGTGCATAGTAGTAGCCAGACCGTTGCGAGGCCGCCTGTCCCCCATTCCACGTCACCCCGTCCATGTGATCCTCATTCCACTTCTTTCATCACCACCCACCGCGTTTTCGTCCCACCCACCCCTGCTTGTAGATGACCACACGAGTGCATGCGTCGAAAATGAACAGAGCGGCAACAAGTACCTAAACAAAAGTGATCTCGGGAAAAGAGGAGAATACGTATGTCAAGGGGAGCAGGTCAGCCGGAGTGATAACTCTGTCCCATGTGATGTCCCCCCACGAGGTGAACCACCCAACAACACCCTTGCCAAGTGTCCCTCGAATAGAAAAAGCTTAACTGAAATGAACAAAAGTGAAAATATAAATCATCACCTGGGGAATGAAGAAAAGCAAAAAATGGCAGAACACGAAATTAATAGGTCCTCAAGTAGATCCTACAAGCTAGGTAACGTAGTGGGAAATGGAAGCTTCGGGGTCGTTTATGAAGCCACATGTGTAGAAACGTGTGAAAAGGTAGCCATAAAGAAGGTACTACAAGATCCTCAATACAAAAACCGAGAATTAATAATAATGCAGAATTTAAATCATATAAATATTATTTTTTTGAAGGACTATTATTATACTGAGTGTATAAAGAAAAATGAAAAAAATGTATTTTTGAATGTGGTTATGGAGTTCATTCCGCAGACAGTACATAAATATATGAAGCACTATGCTAGGAACAACCATTCCTTACCTCTGCTCCTCGTGAAGCTGTACTCCTATCAACTTTGCAGAGCACTAGCTTATCTCCACTCCAAGTTTATTTGCCATCGCGATTTGAAGCCACAAAATTTATTAATAGAGCCAAACACACACACACTCAAATTGTGTGACTTTGGTAGCGCGAAGAATTTGCTAGGTGGCCAGCGCAGCGTGTCGTATATTTGCTCTAGGTTTTATCGTGCCCCGGAACTCATGCTGGGTGCCACCAACTACACCACGCACATAGACTTGTGGTCCCTCGGTAAGGCTCTTCGACGGAGCGGCAAAGAGACAGGCGGCAGGCTGCTTTGCCACGCTGGCAGAGCAGCGGCCCATCTCCAAAGGTGCGTCCCCTTCCATGTCGCATTTTCCCATCACCATTTGTGCCCTCACACCCCAGGCTGCATAATCGCGGAAATGATTTTAGGTTACCCTCTCTTCTCGGGCCAGTCCAGCGTGGACCAGTTAGTTAGAATTATTCAAGTCTTAGGTGAGTGCTCTCCGCCAGGGTGGCAACCTTTTCCCCAATTGCGTTGTGTGCGTTTATGCGAACGCCTCTACATGTACAAATGGGGTAGCAAACGTACCGCTCTACTAAAACGAATGGTTGATCCGCACCCATCTCTCCCGTTTCTCTGTCCCCTTTTGTGAAGGCACACCAACGGAGGAGCAAATGAAAGTGATGAACCCGAACTACGCAGATGTGAAATTCCCTGACGTGAAGCCAAAGGATTTTAAAAAGGTAGCCATGACTTGCGAGCTCGTCCGGGGGAGAAAGGCGTACATGTTGCAACAGCTATGTGGCCCACTTCTACCCCGTTACCCGATCCTCTGCTACCCCTTACCCAATGCAGGTCTTTCCTAAGGGAACCCCCGAAGATGCAATCAATTTTGTATCACGATTTCTCAAATACGAACCCATGAAAAGACTTAGCCCAATCGAGGTACTGTGGAGGATGTGAGAGGGGGAAGACACCTGACCTTTTCTCTGCGCAGAGGAGTGCGCGCGTGTGTGTGCATGCGTGTGATGTTGCGCGTCCGTACAAATGGTGTCACACTGGGGAGAGAGCAGAGATCGGTCATGTTAGTCTGTCCCTTTATTATGACCCTCCACATGGGTGTAGCTAAAACGCATTTACACTCATTGTTGTTGCTTTTCCTTTCCACCTCCACCCCCACCGCTCAATGCGAAGGCTCTGGCGGATCCCTTCTTCGATGATCTGAGGGACCCTTGCATCAAGTAACTCTCCTCTTCCGCGCTGCCTTCCATTGCGTTGCCACGTCGTTATCACCTCCTTACCACCGCGTTACAAACCCGTTATCACTGCCACCCCGCTGCCGCTTCCTCCCCCCCGCGACAGGTTACCCAAGTACATCGAGAAGCTGCCCGAGCTGTTCAATTTCACGGAAGCCGAAATTAAAGAAATGTCTGACGCATGCAGGCGCAAATTGACACCCAAGCGTACCTACGGGGCATACGAACAGTACCTAATGAGTAAAGCAGCTAGTGATGGGTCTAAGATGAATGAGAATCTGAGCAAAGAGTTTGGTGAATCTAATATAGAAACTAAATCCAATCGCGCGGTCAACCTGGCCTGATGCAGCGTAGAAGCGCTGCCCTGACGCGTTCATTCGGTTCAGAAGTATGAAACGGAGGAGAAAAACGCTACAAGCAGGACGGGGCGACAAAGTCTTAATTCAAGCTCCCCACATGTTCACCCCACTTCCAGTGGGTTAGGCGCGCACGCGGGACAACGCCTAAGTGTACCCCGCCACACGCCCCCACCACAAAAAGCACACCTCTCGCCCAATCCACACCCTGGAGCGCGCGCCCCTGTTTTTGTGTTCAAGCGTTTGTTTCCACATTTATATGATCAACACACCTTTGCGCACGTCCTTCGGTTGGGTTGAATCTGCCCTTCTTCACCCCCCCCACACACGCGCTAGCATTTTAATGAAAAGGCCTTTTTCATAAATGGGGAGTGGAGATCATTTTTTTTTTTTTTTTTTTTATTCAGGCAAATTTATTAATCGTTTTGCAACACTTTTTTCTTTTCACCATCACGCCTGTGAATTTTTTGTGTTCAAATGGGATACAACATTAGTGCATAGGTACATTCTTCTCTCTCTCTCGCTGTGCGTGCGTGTACGTCAAACACGGTAAACAGGGGGGGGGGGGTGGAGGAATGACATACAAAAATGTTCACACACACACACGCGCGCCCATACATATTTTTTGCAACTATTTATTTGTGTGCATGTTCGACGCTTCCCTTTTTATTAAAACTTGGGGGGCGATACGGCGTGCCTGTAGCTATTCTACATGTGAAGAGTTATTCACCTTTTAATCACATGTGTTTTTTTTTTTTTTTTTTTTTTTTTTTTTTTTTTGCCCCCGCATGTATAAACACAGAGTTACATTTTTTTAAAAAAAAAAAAGTAACAAGGGGGGGTTGCCATCATGTACAATGGGTGGAGGTCAAGTTGACCGAGTTTGGTGAAGTTGACCGCAGATGAGAGACCGCGCCTGCAACTTCCTCCGCATGGGCGGGCAAAAGGGGGGGACTTATTACAAAGTTACGTTTTAAGGGGTGGTAGGGGGCACACAGAGAGGGGGACCCCGTTTGTGGGCGCGCCAGCGCGGCGACTGCCCAGGTGAGTTGTATTCATTACGGGAAAAAAAAAAAAAAAAGAATTGAAGTGGTTGAAGTGGTTGAAGTGGTTGAAGCGGCCGCTTCGACCCCATCTGCCGCTTAAACCGCTTCCACCGCTTAAACCGCTTCCACCGCTTAAACCGCTTCCACCGCTTAAACCGCTTCCACCGCTTCAACGGCTAGACGATCCGCTCCAGTTCGGTGGCGTAACCGATGGTGTTGTTGAGGACCTCGAGGGCGGGGAGCTCTTGCACGTGGACAGTCGGGTTATTAAAGTAAATCTTTTTGTTACGGACCTCCCACAGGAGGTTGGACTCCCCTTCACTCGTCTTTGTCTCATTATACTCTCCTATAAACTGGAACAAATCATTTTCACTTACAAACTGTAACAACTCACATGCATAGTCCGAAGAGATACAGTTGGAAGAAGCGAATATACAGTCGGCCAATTTATGCCTAATGGTATTATATAGTCGTTCTATAAAGAGAGCATATAAATATAAAGGTATATCTTCCTTCTTGGTCAGGACGTAATAAAAGTACCCATCCATTATGTGTTGTTCCAATTGAAGTACATATTTTATATACTGGTCATTCTGATCTTCAATGGAAATAATTTCCAAGGTCATGTGAAAATCTCCAATCAGGTTCGAAGATAATAAATAAAGCAAATACATTCCAATGATTCCATTTTGGCTTTTGCTCTTAGGAAGGAAATTCCGGTAGTCCAAGTAATACAAAAGTAATTGAGCCATGTAAATGGAAAAAGATTTTATGTCCCGATCTAATATGGAGATGATGACTCCTTTTTCTAATATATGTCTAGCTAAAAGTAATTCATTTGTATTTTTTTTTCCTATGGGTACTAGAGGATCCACTGAAGGTAGGTGAATTAACACCAGTTTCAGTTTTGTTAATATTTCCTTACACTTAACAATGTCACAATTTATTACCTGACTTAGGTCTTCCTTTAGTTGGAACAGCGACCCGACGTCTCCCTTCCCTATGCCCAATTCACTCTCCCTTACGTTATAATATACACACAGCAGCTCTTTGTACAGAGCCAACCCCTGCATCAACTCGTTCGACATGGTTTTCAACGGGGTAGTGGTAAAATTCTTGTGTGGGACTTCCTCTCACCAAGTCACGCTCGATGTGTACTATATATATATATATATATATATACGGCGTGTTCCTGCTTCCCTCGTCGCCTTTTGTAAAGATGGTAACTCTTGGCTCTTCTCGTGCGGATTTCCTTTTTAACCGGGGTTTAATATATACCCCCTTTGCGGACTCTTCAGATGGAAAATTTTGTAGTGCCCTCCGGGGATTGGCGACATATATGGCTTGGTCCCCCTCGCTAGCGCTTAGCTGGCCGCGCGGGAACAATCAGCTGATCCTGTGTAGCGGTTAGCCGTACACTTCACTTCGTTCGCCACTTCGCTGCATTCACCAGTTCTCCCGTTCGCGCGCCACTTCGCTGGCCACTTCACTTCGTTTACCAGGTGGGGGAAAAACAAAAAAAAAAAAGGAGTAAACGAAGGCAACAGCACATGCGATGCGCCACTTCCGCTTGGTATAGCTTATACGGGCGATGCGCTTTTCGTCACTATCACTTTTTTTTTTTCTTATTCATTTATGAGTGATGCATTTATTTATTTAAGTTATTTATTTTTTCCCCCTTGGGTAAGTGCACAAGGATACACGACGCATTGCCGAGCCCTACCCGGCAACAATCTTTTTTTTTTTTTTTTTTTTTTTTTTTCCACCATTTTGTGGGCAGCAACGTGGACACTGAGATTTGCCCAAGCGGCAGTTACACCTTCGCGGATGAGGGGTACGGTAGGGTAGGAGGGGGGGTTTTGTTCATCGTGTGCACCTCTCTATTGAAGGAGTCATTTTTCGTGGGTTTGTTTTGAGCAGCAGTTTAAAATACGTGTGTCTGCTTTTCGGCCGCCTCGACATGGAGAGCACTGTAGGAAATGGAGTTGGAAGTGGGATGGGGAGTTTTGTTGAAGGGGGTGGCGCTCACTACGCCCTGCCCAGGGACGAAGACATTGACGAATTTCTCACCAAAGTAAACGACGTGACAGAAAAGGTGCAACACATTTTGAGCGGAAAAATAACTGTGGAGGAAATGCAAAAGGAGGAACAGGAGCTGCTCCTGAAGGAGAAAATAAAACAAATAAGAGAAGCGGAAAAAAGGGAAGAGGAACACAGGAGGTATATTATGGGTGTAGGGGGAAGCGGGACCAAGGACAGAAATTACAAGTGCTTTTGTACACATTGCTTGGTGGAGTTCAAATATATGCTGACCACCTGCCCTAGATGTTCAGGGGGAGTTATAACTAAGGAACAGCGATTGCGTGACTTGCAGGACAAGGTCAACCAGTACAAGGAAAAGAAAAAAAAAAGAGACGCCAGGAGGGCTGCTTGGAAAAATTGGCAAAGGGGGGTAAACCAGAACAAGGATGTAAGTGAGGAGGGAAGAGGAAAGGACAATGAAGAGAATGATCCGCTGCATAACACATCTATCCCTAACAGAGTTACCACCGACTATGAAAAATGGAATCATTATGAACCCAGCTCAGACACATTCGATGAAGATGAAAAAATCCCCTACGTCCCGAAGCACAATAAACATTTTCACATGTTAGAACAAAAAATACAAAGTGATGTTGACAAGAAGAATGAACAAAGGAAGGTTGCTCACTCGATGAAGCTAAGAGGAAATGAATTTTTTAAAAAAAGAAAATATATTCAAGCTATTGAATGTTATGAACAGGCACTACAAGTGTGTAAAGACTATCTGGAAATCCACAACAACCTTGCCTTGTGCTACCTTAAAACGTACAGATATGACAAGGCCATTCATACTTGTAATGAGGTTATTCAATACTACAATGTGTTTAAGGAAGACTTCCGGTTGAAGAAGGACACCTTGTTCAAAAGCCATCTCAGGAAAGGGCTAGCGTGGTACAAACTCTTCAATTTTGAAGAAGCACTGGCTAGCTTTAAATTCGCTACAGAAATTTACCCCGGGGATGTAGAGGCATCTGAGTATGTTCAAAAGTGTGAGAGGATGGTCAGGAGGGGGACTCAATTGGGGACAACTCTGCTTGCGGCGAATGGTGCTTCCCCCCCTCTGGGTACGACTAACAATGGACATGTGACGGACCTTTTTCAAGCACTCAGTCAGCTAGCTAAAATGGATCTCACCAAAGATGGGCAAATTTTCCTAGAGACACTCAAAGGGGTGAAGAGATGTCTCAAGGGAAGCGAAAAGAGCAAATTAGCATTCTACTCAAATGTGTACTCGATAAATGATGGTACAGGAGGTGCTTGTTGTGGTGGTGGGATAGCTAACCGCAAGGGAAAGACCACCTTTCTCGCATTTTGTGCAGACAAACTTGAGCAGATACTTTTTTGCGTGAAGAAAGGACAAACCATGGAAACCGCCCCACTACAAAAAAAACAGCAAAAAATAAAACGAGAAAAACTTCCCAAGTACACCTCCCTCATTACCATCGCCCTCATCGACTTGATCACCTTCATCCTGGACGACGAACACCACTGTGCAGACTTTTGTCTGAATGCGGTGAACCCAGTCATCACGCTCTACCAGTTAAACAAAATTAACAAAGGGAAAGCTATGCACCTGCTCAACTCCATGGGAAGGAACACACAAGGGAGGAAGTTGTTACATGAGCGGGTCATACAGGGGGAAGATCATAGCCTGTTGGGCAAGCTCCTCACTCGAATTGGTCACCTGATCGATGAGGACAGAAGCGTTTACTCGGAAGAGCAGCGCACAAGATTGATATACCTAACAGAGTGCATCATCACACTGGAGAGCGTGCGCAGGTATGCAGTGCATCTTCATGAGGTTACTCACCAGAGGGAGAAGACAAATGAGGGGACTTCCACCACTAGGTGTACACAGAAAAGCAAAACAAACGGAACAAGTGACACACCGAAGGAAGGAGACCCATGGAAAGAGCTCCAAAAACGAACAGCCAAAATGTACAAACATAAATTCGAGCTAGCTAATTTATTTGGAATCATTTCACATCTAACTCTGAACAAAGACGCTAGAGATGTTATAGAAAAAAAATTCATCAAGCATATACTTAACATAATAATTTACGTCAACGAGCTTTTTTATTCCAGCCAAGGACTGAACTGTAACTGCTTGTCTCTTCTGGTTAACCTCGTAGGGAACACAAACGTAAGGACCATCATCATGAGTGCCTGCTGGCCGCATATGATGCACTTCGTCGAGAAGGCAGCCTCAGGGGAGAACCTCCTCGAAAACGTTTTGTCTCTCCTCTTGAATTTAACCTCCACATGGAAGGAGCAAATGAGTAAAGCAGATGGAGCGAAGACTCTAATTAGGGAAGGAAGCCTGTGGCGAATGATCTCCTGCATGGGGTCAGCCAACATGAGGGTAGCAGAGCTCTCCTGCTTAATACTTAGTCGATTGTATACATATGCCTACTGTGGAGTGGTGCACATAGAGGGAGAAAAGTCGGCAGATCCCGCCCCCAAGAGGAAAGAAGAAAAGGTGTGTGAAAGTGATCTCTTTGTGTCTGCCCCTCAAGAGGATACATCTAACGAGAATCAAAACGCCCACTTGGTATATTCACTAAAAAAAAAAATTGAAAAAGAGAATGATCAGCAGATTCACCTCGATGAATATTCCTTCAACTCGATAAAGAAGTTCATTTTGTGTGAGTTGGAATCTCCACGTGGAAGTGGCTTAACAATTGCCTGCGTCAACCTACTTTGCTCCTTAGCTACGTACACAGATTTCTTGTTGAAGCTACTCTACGAGGAAGAAGAGAGTAAGTTAGGGAGACTGACCAATCGACTTGTCTCCCTCTTCGTACAAAACAAAAGTAAAGTCGAGAAGGACAACTCCACATCCATCATGGTAAAGAACGTTGCATCGCTTTTCACACAAGTGATAAAAATTCTCACCGTGAGGAAAGACACCAACTGGGGAAATGCCTCCGTAGTCAGCTCAATAAAGAAACTCATTCCACATGCAGCCGAGTTGGTGAATAATGGCATACACAACGATGGCACGAGTAAAGGAATAAGTTTCTTCCTCTCGTATTGCTTCATCAATGCGCATTTGAAGTCGGAGGTGCTTGCTTCCTTCCACAACGATGTGGAGAGAGTATGTGCGGTGCTTCGCTGTGGGGGTGGCTGAGGTGTGCTCCCTCTGCATCTGTTCCCCCTACATGATACAATTATTTTTTTTTACAACACGATAAACAGGCGCGTTTCTCTTGCATGCACAAGTGCACTTCAAAAAAGGGGGAAGCCAAATGGATGGCAAAAAAGGGGAAAAAAAAAAAAAAAAAAAAAAAAAAAAAAAGCAAACACACACACACACACGCTGCTGCGGTAGGGGGACGTTTGCTCCCCTCATTAGGGGAAGTTGGGGAGAGCGCCACGGCAAGTGGGACACTCGAGCTTGACGTCCATCCACTGCTGCAGGCACTTTTCGTGAAAGATATGAAAGCACGGAGTGACACAATACTTCTTCTCCTTCAACACAATGTCATACATACAAATGACGCACTCTGGAATACCGGTTTCAAAATTAGGATCAATGGTCTTGTAATAATTGTGTACATGGGGTAGCAGGTCGATGTCGACGAGGTACCTGGGTCCGTACAGCCGTTGTAGAGACATAAAGAGTAGTTGCACGGCTAGGATGACTATGAGCAGGATACTGAAGGTGGCATTGGTTGAATCCATCGCGCGTGCGAACACATCCAATTGAAAAATGCTTTGTGAATACATGAACCGATATACAGGTAGAAACACTCGACATAAGGACAGAGCAAAAGCAACCTTAAGATTTATCGAATTCCTTTGTCCCTTCCATACGTCTAATAGAATCTGAGGAACCCAACACATATACAATAATAACAACACGTATGGGCATAAGGGAAAAATATAATAAAAGGTGACAATGACCAGGAGGATACTCCCATAATAAAATTTGTATAGGGTTGCTAACTTCCTCTGAAGCTGACTCCATCCTTCTTGTAAATACTGCTGGTGATTCGCTTTCCATATGATTAATATATATCTCAGTTCCATCAGCGTGAATAAAATAAATTTCAACAGCACCATGAATATAAAGTGCACTAGTAACAATCGGGACAGCATCACTTCGTACAGAAGAAGGAGAGACTCGAACAGGTCGATAAAGGAATTCAAACAGATTGACATGAGGGATACTTTACTTGCGCTCCGCATATTCTCGCTGCTTCTTCCAATCTGTAAATAGAACAACCCTAACTCCACAATGGACTTGATGTTGTACAGGATGGCGAAGGCCGTGACACGCGCCGCCGCATACCTCTTGTCCACGTCGTCTCCCTCCAGACGCACGAACAGCCCGCAGTTGTCGGAGGAGATGTACCCAGCGTAGTGGGGCGCATCGCCCATCGTGTCGTCATGACTAGTATCGTCCGGCGTGACTGTTTCCTCGGGACGAGTACCGTCCGCCGCGTCGTCAGGCCTGCCTGCTTCCTCGTCGTGATGCGTGCCCGCTTCGCCGTGACGAGTACTGTCCGCTTCTTCCTGGGGAGTGATCGCTACCTCCTGTGGAGTATGGTCCGCTGCGCCATTTGCCTGCCCACTCAAATGGCGCTCATACTCATCACGGTACCGCGCCGAGAGGTACGTGCCCCAGGACTCCGCCTCGTCCATGAGGTACTTCTTAAGAAAGTACAAATAAGACTCTTCTACCTCCCGCAGAGATGTGGACTCCTGCATGGACACGTTCTGTTGAATACCAATGTTATAATTACAAATGCAACTCTTCTCGTCCTGGCACAGACTAAGAAAGTTATAACCCACACCGTTAAACATGTATTTGTTTTCTCGATTTACGTTGATCCCGGGCACCCCGAGGAACTGAAATTTGCTTGGCTGGCTGGGCTGCTTCACTGCTTGGTTAGGAGACAAAGCACCGTGACCGCCCTTGCGGCTGCTGCTTCCTGCCTCCTCTCCCTGGGGCTCAAAGTACAAAAACAGCAATGACTTGGTTACGTTGTAGAGGGACAGCTTCAGTGTAATCAGCTTGGCTTCGAATTCTCCCCCGGTCGGATGACCCCTCTTCGCTCCATTCGCGCTACTCACGCCACGCTTGTCGTTCGCTCGGACGCGCCACCGGTCCTCCACCCTGTAACGCCCCTTAAAATTCAGACACTGGATTAGTACATTGTCGAGCACATCGTCCGGCACGTACCTGTCTCCCCCTTCCCCTGGCAACAGATTACCATCGATGTCAGGACCAAGGGTGCCGCCTGCCCCGGGTTCGTAGCCGCTGCCAGTCGGGACTGCATTATTTTCAGCTGTTACCAGCATGACAAAGAATAAGGAAATAAAAAAGAGGAAGAGACATAACACATTGCATGACTCTCCATCATTCCCCGCTTCGGCTCTGTACAGGAACACATCGTTTCTCTCGACCCCTTCGTCCGACTCACCACTCGTCGCCTCGTTATTGTTCATGCTTCGCCAGCCGCGTCGGTCTGTGCGCGGTGGTGGCGCGCCGCCCTCCGTTGAGAATTATGTCGCGGGTCGCTCCTTTCGTTATGGTGCCCCCCCCATCCGCTGCGGCCTATAGTGCGGCATGTACTGCGGCAATAACTGTCGTACATGTGCAACCTGCATGTACACGTGTAAAAGCACGCAGCGGGGAGTGCGACGCTTTTCTACCCTTTGGTCAATCCCCCCGTGGGAAGTTTCCTTGGCATCTTGAGGTGGTCAGTGGGCTCATACGGCGGGCACACAGTTTGGAGTTGGTCCAACTGGCATTCCCTCTGCAGCTTCGTCCGTCCTTGGTCCCTTTTTTTTTTTTTTTTTTTTTTTTTTTTTCTTTTTCTTAATGATGCTGCTTAGTAGCACACGTCAGTCATCTCGTTTAGTTTTTTTTTTTTTTTTTTTTT